CCTCATCACAAAGTGTCTAAAAAAGGCGCTAGTGCTCATCTCAAAGTGTCTAAAAAGGTGCCAGTCCTCATCACAAAGAGTCTAAAAAATAGGTGCCAGTCCTCATCACAAAGTGTCTAAAAAAAAGGTGCCAGTCCTCATCACAAAATGTCTTTTAAAAAAAGGTGCTAGTTCTCATCACAAAGTGTCTAAAAAAGGTGCGAGTCCTCATCACAAAGTGTCTAAAAAGGTGCCAGTCCTCATCACAGTGTCTAAAAAGGTGCCAGTCCTCATCACAAAGAGTCTAAAAAATAGGTGCCAGTCCTCATCACAAAGTGTCTAAAAAAAAGGTGCCAGTCCTCATCACAAAGTGTCTAAAAAAAGGTGCCAGTCCTTATCACAGTCTAAAAAAAGGTGTTGATTCTCATCACAAAGTGTCTAAAAAAAGGTACCAGTCCTTATCACAAAGTGTCTAAAAAAAGGTGCCATTCCTCATCACAAAGTGTCTAAAGAGGTGCCAGTCTTCATCACAAAGTGTCTAAAAAAGGTGCCAGTCCTCATCACAAAGTGTCCAAACAAAGGTGCCAGTCCTCATCACAAAGTGTCTAAAGAGGTGCCAGTCCTCATCACAAAGTGTCTAAAAAAAAGGTGTCAGTCCTCATCACAAAGTGTTTAAAAAAGGTGCCAGTAATTATCACAAAGTGTCTAAAAAGGTGCCAGTCCTCATCACAAATTGTCTAAAAAGGTGCCGGTCCTCATCACAAAGTGTCTGAAAAAGGTGCCGGTCCTCATCACAAAGTGTCTGAAAAGGTGCTAGTCCTCATCACAAAGTGTCTAAAAAAGGTGCCAGTCCTCATCACAAAGTGTCTAAACAAAGGTGCCAGTCCTTATCACAAAGTGTCTAAAGAGGTGCCAGTCCTCATCACAAAGTGTCTAAAAAAAGGTGTCAGTCCTCATCGCAAAGTGTCTAAAAAGGTGCCAGTCCTCATCACAAATTGTCTAAAAAGGTGCCGGTCCTCATCACAAAGTGTCTGAAAAAGGTGCCGGTCCTCATCACAAATTGTCTGAAAAAGGTGCTAGTCCTCATCACAGAGTGTCCAAAAAAGGTGCTAGTCCTCATCGCAAAGTCTCTAAAAAGGTGCCAGTCCTCATCACAAAATGTCTAAAAAAAAGGTGCCAGTACTCATCGCAAATTGTTTAAAAAAGGTGCCAGTCCTCATCACAAAGTGTCTTAAAAAGGTGCTAGTCTTCATCACAGAGTGTCTAAAAAAGGTGCCAGTCCTCATCACAAAGTATCTAAAAAGGTGCCAGTCCTCATCGCAAAATGTCTAAAAAAAGGTGCTAGTTCTCATCACAAAGTGTCTAAAAAAGGTGCGAGTCCTCATCACAAAGTGTCTAAAAAAGGTGCTAGTGCTCATCTCAAAGTGTCTAAAAAGGTGCCAGTCCTCATCACAAAGTGTCTAAAAAGGTGCCAGTCCTCATCACAAAGAGTCTAAAAAATAGGTGCCAGTCCTCATCACAAAGTGTCTAAAAAAAGGTGCCAGTCCTCATCACAAAGTGTCTAAAAAAAGGTGCCAGTCCTTATCACAGTCTATAAAAAGGTGTTGATACTCATCACAAAGTGTCTAAAAAAGGTGCCAGTCCTCATCACAAAGTGTCTAAAAAAAGGTGCCAGTCCTTATCACAGTCTATAAAAAGGTGTTGATACTCATCACAAAGTGTCTAAAAAAGGTGCCAGTCCTCATCACAAAGTGTCTAAAAAAAGGTGCCAGTCCTTATCACAGTCTATAAAAAGGTGTTGATACTCATCACAAAGTGTCTAAAAAAGGTGCCAGTCCTCATCACAAAGTGTCTAAAAAAGGTGCCAGTACTAATTGCAAAGTCTATATAAAGGTGTCGATACTCATCACAAAGTGTCTATTACTGTAGCACTGGGAAAAAAAATTATGCCTTAAAAAAGTGTTTGTGGTTCTTAACTTGAGGAAATAGAAAAAGTCCTGAGTTTGGTGGTAAATATATCAGTTCCATTGTCATTTCAATTTTCTTTTGTACAAACTGGGACAGTGATATACACCAACCTCATTCTGATAGGTATAGGCTTATTTTGGTGCGTTGACAACCTGAACGGCATTGCATTGCTTGTATTTCAGAGCATTTACAACCAAACCTAGCTTTCAGGAGTTATTTGATGGTAAAATAATGATATGTTTTCTTAATTTTCAACATTTGTTGCTGATTAAAATCTGAATAATATAGCCTCTGAATCATTGAAGAAACAAGGCACAGTTAAGTGGCATCAAGGTATCACTGTTTACAGGAAAGCACTCAAGAAACATTAATTTTAAAAAAAAATATATATTTTATTGCATGGATTATCACAAGAGACACATCTACAAGAATGTCCACCTCAGATTTGGAGATGGCACATTTCTTGACCAATCAAGCAGTTATCTTTAATGTAAAAATAAAAAATAGTTTTTGTGCTTGATTTGTTTCTAAACTTGCTTTAATAGATTTTAAGAACTCTCTTTCAAAATTTGAATGGAAACTTAATCTAGGCAGTTTCAAGTCGATAAACATGAGGGTTACAGATTTTGTCTTGGAATAAATATTTCTTCCACTTAAAGCTATGTATCTATTGCTGTGGTAGAGCAGACTTTGACCATCCATTAACTGTCTGGAATCCTTGTTTTAAATTAAAGTGCTTGTGTGTGTGCACAATTTTGAATTAGAGATAAGATTAGTTACATCTGGTTATCAGAGAAACATAAAAAGTTGGTAGAAGGGGAAATATTAATTACTTGATATCTGAGCAAAACAGAATGGATTCAATGGTATGGCACGAGTACTAAAGTGAAGCTTAGGGAAAGAACTAAACACATTTCAGTCAGCAGGTGAGGAAGGGTTGGTGATGTGGATAGGACACGCTGACGAAAACCTGAAAATAATATGACTAGAATGTCACCTCAGGAAAATAGAGACGAAGGGTGAGTTAGGAACACATTACAAAGATTAAGTATAATATGAAGGACTCCACAGGGAAGCATACACAGCAGGAATCTTCAGTAGATATCCCTCGTCGACGATTGTTTCAGCCCACTACTTCCTAGACAGTCTCGTAAGGTGGGCTGACCTGGGTTAGACTTTGGCAGTTGGCAGAGAGACATTGGCAGATGTTACTCAGACACTTTGGCCTTAAGAGATGTAAAGTTCCTTTCCACTAGAGGCTCAGACCAGTCTACTGAGGCCTATCCCCCAAGATGTTTCGTTGCGTTCACAGCCGGCCTGCTTCGCCCAGTTGTTTTAATACCCGTTTTTGCTCTTTTCCTCACAAGCCCATGTGCTTTAGTACATTGAATGTGGAAGTGGAGATAAGACCTCTTGCGATTACCTCGACGGCAAAGATTTTTGCTGAGTATGCTTCATCGCTCCTCAGACTGACCACCAGATTTCTATACTTTTCGAGTCTGTTTAGAAGATTTTCATCCAACCAAAACTTGTTTTGCACGGTCAGCTCTATCGGGATGCGCTAGCGTTTTTCCACAGAGTGCAGGACCATGTCTGGTCTTTCAGATTCATTTGGGGTATTTCTCGAAAGAGATTTAGAGACAGAGATAAACAAAATAGGGAGGTTCTGGAGGAAGCTGCTTGAGATAGCGAAGTACAGAAAAACTAGATATTAGTGGGCTGATGCTTCAATGAGAAAAAGGTTCACAAATGGCAGCTGTGGTATGGGTGGATACCAAGCATCAACATGTCTGAATTACAGGGACTGGCATGAATATACTGTCTGACATGCAGGAATTTATGAGCAAACACAGAAACTCAAGGGAGGCATTCTGAAAACCATTTACGAAAGATGGAAGATACAATTTAAGATAAAGTAACCTGTGTAAGGTTGCGTTTAGTTTGAATTGAGTGTAGACCTAGCAAGAAAACCTAAGGATGGAAGAGGACAACATGTGCAGAGCCAGTGTGCTGCTACACCTTATAACATTTACTGCAGGTGATAAAACATCTATAGTACGCCCAGTGTTCTATGATGCTGAATCTTAAATTATTAATCAGGAACTTCCCCGTGTGAGTTCCTGGGCCCTATTACAGGGAAAACAAGAATAAACCCACTGCCTGCCCAAATCGTGTCGTAAGAGTTGACTTACTGGGAGCTTCCTTCGAAGTCAGAGTGCATCTGGGTGAGAGGCAAGGAACCAACAGTCTGCATACAAATGAGTCAGATCTGTAAAACGGATGAACATGCAACATTCAGGTTCTGGAACAGTCCAGAAGTGGGCAAACAACCAGAACTTTCTGTTAGAGTTTACAGCTGGTGAACCCGAAGAAGAAGAAGATTAATCATGAAGAAAATGCATGAATTCTGATCTGAATGAAAAGAATTTATGATCTGGATGAAAATAATTTCTGATAAGAAGAACCATTTCTTGTGTCCCCAGTAAGTTCTCCTTGTCACGTCTGCACTGTAGTTAGCTATCTTAGTACTCAGTAGTACAAATTCATTAATTAATCCTTCTGTTTGTTAAGTAAAGTAAAGCATCCTTGTTATGACACAGCTATATGAAGCTTCTGTTTGTTAAGTAAAGTAAAGTAAAGCATCCTTGTTATGACACAGCTATATAAAGCTTCTGTTTGTTAAGTAAAGTAAAGTAAAGCATCCTTGTTATGACACAGCTATATGAAGCTTCTGTTTGTTAAGTAAAGTAAAGTAAAGCATCCTTGTTATGACACAGCTATATGAAACTTCTGTTTGTTAAGTAAAGTAAAGTAAAGCATCCTTGTTATGACACAGCTATATGAAGCTTCTGTTTGTTAAGTAAAGTAAAGTAAAGCATCCTTGTTATGACACAGCTATATGAAGCTAGTCTAACATTACAGATCTTTTCATTTGCTATAGCCTTAATTGCTAGTGTATAGCCCTAGACTAGTGGGATTAAGACAGGAAAGAGAATAGTCAATTACAAGAGGCTCTGCACAACATATTACACAAATAAAGTAAAACATTTTGCTTAGCTGTAAGGGAACAGGTGAGTTGTAACAGGCCATACCATATCTGAAAAGAAACAGAATGTAAAGAAGAGGCATTCTAACATTTAGTTGACAATAATTTTTTTAAACAGGAAATGATAAAATTGATTTTTAAAGAAAATGGTAAACATTTAGTCGTCCCCATGTGGGATGCAATTTTTTGTTATTTGAAGCCCCACCCTGGCTTTTGCCGGGGGCCCTGAATATAGCCGGGGCATAGATATGGCCATAATGGCTGAAAGGGGTTTATGGGACTTCTCCATGGGTGATCCTCATCCGCATGGTGACACTTTGTGTCACCGGGTGTTTATCGCTTGTGTGATGTCTTGGTGGGGTACAACAAGAAAGAGAAAATGGTAAAATATGTTGGTATGGATGAGAAGAGCAGCTGCTGTGGACCTGAAAACCATTTTAAGTAATGAACACTGTAACATCAGTTCTGGCAGACACTGAATGACTGTTTTCCTGAAAGTTAAGGGCTGGGTTTTGGGCTCCATCATTCTTCCTCTTCCTCTTCTGTGTTGCCCTCAAAAGGGGTGTTGGCAAGTTGTTTTATAGTTTACAGCTAGGCTGCAGTATTTCTGCTTTTTGGCCTAACACATCTGGTTTCCACAAGCTCCTAATTAGTCACCTTTTACAACATGCTTTTTACATGGCAGTGGGTCTATTCCCCCCCCCCCCTTTTCCCACCCTCAAAGGGCCCTAGAACCACAGGGGGTGCTCCATAATTTGACCTGAGATGCTCTTATGAGCTGAATGAACAGCCATATGGTTATTAGTAACTGACGGATCATCCTCCCTGTACACTGGCTGTACATCTGTGGTATTGTAAATTTATGTATGTACTGATTAAGGCTCTTTAGCAGCAACATTCAATTGCCGTTTTTGTTTGTGAAAAACGTCAAGCTGACTGGTTCTACTTTTTGTTTGCTTGATATCTTTTCACTGTACACTGACACATTTAAGCATGTCGAGGAAGGTGTGGACACGTGTGCTTCATTCAGAGTGGCATGATTCGTTTCATAGGTCACGGGTGAGGGGCGCTGTCTGGAGCTTTTCTCTGGGGTATGCCGGTCTGTTGAGAAATGAACAGGCGGACAGACTGGCTGGCTCTGCACAGCTTGGCGGAATACTGATGCATGATAAGGCAGGTGTGTTTAGGGTCTTGTTGGAGAAGGCGTACAATTTTGAGGAGCAAATGGGTCACCACAGTCTAGTGTGAGTCCATCGGGGAGTGACAAAGGGATCTGGCCGATACTTGACGCTCTGAGAAAGGGCAAGAAAGGACATACAATCAGAATGCTATTGGCACCATTGGTATTGAACTTTGTGCTGGCAGCTGAAGAGGGGGATGAAGCACTTATGGGAATTCTCTGAGTGCTATGATGTCGGTTCTTGAACCAACTCAACATTCAGTCCAGATGTGTTTATATCCCCTTAACAGTATATTCCTCAGCCTCAATTCTATCGTCCTATCTCTCAAAGGGATTTAACAACTCTAGTGTGATCCATAGGCCGGCCATCTACAAATAAGGCAGAACCAGCGAATCTATCAGCTCCTTCATTGCCAACAATATCACATAATACTCCTCATAGTATGGGCCAAACCATATATCAAATTATACTCCTCATTGCATGGGCTCTAAGGCGGGGGCTGTTAAACTAAGAGGCCAAATGTTGAAGAAAAAAAAGGTGGGGGGGGGGGGCATCAGGGGCGCGAGCCCCAGTGTAGAAAGATTGTTAATACAATTGGGAATGATCCACAGGCCAACTTGCTATGCCCCTGCGGGCCAGATTTGGCCCATGGACTGCCAGTTGAACAGCCCTGCTCTAAGGTATGCACCATACATCCAGGAATGCTCTTCTTTGCACGAAAAAGGGATTGTTAACATTAACATGTTCTTTTCACTTACCACTCTCAAGTGATGTATCAAATGGTTTTTCATATATGTTGATAAACTCCTCAGGGGTAATCATGCTGCTGTCTGATTCTTCCAGAAGGTAATGTACAATGGCTGCAGCAAAACAATATAGCAGGTTTATTTTATTTGTTTAAATGTTTATTGTTGGTAAATTTGTCTGTTTGCATGTGCAGTGTGTAACTTTTTATTGTTGTGTTATTTACACATTTCGCCCAACAAAATATAATAGGTGGAACACTTAAATGACAACTGGCAAACCTGGTGCGAAAATAAGCAAGGGAAAGATAAGATGAATAGCTACATGGTTGGCCACATAGTGTCAGTAGGACTCTTGTGAGTTTGTGAACCACGCCTGTCTACCTTTATCCACGTGGCACATCATGATGGTGACACAAAAGCACCACCATTATTAACATATTTGTAGGTCACCCACTTGCTGTGATATTGGTGTTAATTTCTGCATTATGTCGCCTGACCTTAACCTTTCACCCTGCCCACCAATCTCACCAGTCTGGGTTGCTTCTTGTCCGGTATCTGATTTCTTTGATAAGATGTGGGTGCAGAGCCTCTGTTATTGAAACATGGATGAAGATTGTTTCAGATTTTAAACCCTAAAGCTAGGTTATTGTATGTATTCTTTTAATTAACGGAACCATTGTCCATTTTGGTCGCATGCTAATGAAGGCTTTTTAACCAGAATGTTAATTTTGTTTTTCATGACAGAGGTGCTGTAAAGCTGACTACTTGTCTGTATTGATTTTGTTCATTCTACTATGATGTATGCTTGTAAAATTATTATTATTCCTTCTTTGTCCAATATTTTTTGTTCAGGACATGATGTGATGTGTCTGCTAATAGCAAACGAGCAATACTTGCAATTTTCCGCCAATAAATCCTATTCCTTTAGGCATTTTCTGACTAAGGTAATTTTCTTTCTTAGCCTGTGGATTTCATTCCTACTTTTGCAGACTTGCTGTCTACGGGTAGTGAGCATACTTTGGATCTTTTCTCCAGGCCATGCTGGCGTAGTGGGTAATGAACAGGCAGACAGATTAGCTGGATCTGCACCATTGGGTGGTGAAATGATACATGACAAGGCAGATGTGGCCAAGACCATTTGAGAACAAGCAATGGAATTAGTAGAAAAACAAGATTATTATGGCCTGGAGAGAATGAGGCACCTGGGTGTAACCAGAGGGTCTGGCCGGCTCACTACACTCAGAGGAAAAGCAAAATGGACATATAACCAGATTGTGACCGGTACCATCAGTATTGGAACTCTGCGCTGGCTGCTGAAGATGCGGACGGAGCAAGCATGGGAATGCCCCGAGTGCTGTGATGTCAATTTTTGACTCAACTCAACTCAACATGCTGTCTACATGCAGCAGAAAGATCTGAGGTCTAGTCGGTCAGAATTCCGGTGTAAATCAAGCTGTATGAATCAGTGATGGACATGCTGTGTTGCACCACAGCCTTCATAAGAGGCCTGTGACTTTCCCATCTGGAAACTACTGGCAGGAGGAATAAAAAGAAGGCGATTCCTGTGTCTCTGGGTATTTGTTGACCAAGTTGGCCTTTTTGTTTACCTGTGGATTTCAATTCAAGAAAAGCACCTATGGGTGGAATCATACACATGTGTAGTTGCAATCTAGGGTAAAATTTTTGTTGTCTCCCTAGACTCCACCCATATACACACTAGCTCACTTCTGATTGCTGGTTTCTAAGCCCTGTGTCCTTCGCACAAGATTACAGGGGTGTTCCGCAATGCCTTGATATTGCATGTTGAATATTTCAGCACGCCAGCACTTTTACCGCTCCAAAAAAATGGAGAAACTGGATTTAACACAACCCCCCTAGAGAGTGCTGCAACCTTTGTCACAGGCATTCTCTTTCTCGGAATGAATACGTAAATACAAGACATCATCCCCATTGGGGAGCTAGTGCAATGTACATAGGGTTGACTTTTCTTTAAAGTCAGAATGCATCTGTCTGAGAGGCAAGGAACCATTCATCTGCACACAGATAGGCTAGATATGTTAAATGAATGGACACGCAACAATCAAGTCCTGGAACAAAACAAAGGTCCAGAAGTGGATGAACAAGCATGACTGCCCACCAGAGTTTAGGGTCAGTGAATGTGAGGAAGAAGAAGACATATAAAGAACACTGCTTTGAATAACTTGAGACTCTTCTTCTTTATGTTCACCAGCTGTAAAGTCTAGCATAAAGTTCTGGTTGTTCATCCACCTCTGGACTTGTTCCAGAACCTGTGTGGTATGTGTAGATCTGTTTTACCACTCTGAATTACTTGTATGCAGACTACTAGTTCCTTGCCTCTCTGACAGATGCACTCTTTCTTCTAAGGAAACCCCCATATAGTTGATTCCTATGACATGCTTGTTGGGGAGACAGTGGGTCTGTTCTTGTTTTCCCCCCACAATGGGGCGCTGGAACCCACACGGGGATAATTTGAGACTGTATTGCAATGACTGTTCTGTGTCTGACAAAGACGATTAGAATATCATCACATTATCATGTGGTTACTGTTAAATGTTATTTTTCTGCTCTGTGCAAGAGCAGAGTTTTTCACTATCTACTTTTCTGCTTTGCCCATTTACAGCATAGCTGTGATATTTGTGTCTTTTGGCTGACACATCTGACTTCTTCATGCATCTGTTACCCTGTTAGCCTTCCCAGGGTTTTTTGAAATAATATCAGCAGTTACCAATTAAAGTACTCTTATCTGTATGTTTTAATGTGCCTCTTTATCACACACACGCATGCACACACACACAAATCAGCACAATCAGAAAATCATACTTACATTGTTGTGGTAAACAATCTGGCACCTTCTCATGTAAGGAATCCATTACACCTCGGAGACTTAGCTAACAGAGTTTTGAGGGGGAAAACATTAGAAAATGTCAAACATGCTTTATCATACATGCATACATGAGAATATACAAAACACATACATACAGATTAAAATTTTTTTTAAGTTAAGACATTAAAACTAGTACCAAACTTGGCATGTTCAACTCTAATATTAAATCAACACTGTTGATTGGAGCAGAATTATGAACTATTTAAACAACTGCTAAAAAAACTTTGAATGTAACTAATATCTTTGCAGAAAAGAGAAAATTAAATAGTACAATAAAATTACTAATATGGAGCTTTGATAGAAAAACTAAAGAAATGCCAGCGAATCAAGATCCGAGGAAAAGATACAGGCACTTGCACACACTTAAGAAAACCTAATCATAGTTCAACTAGGGTGTTCCATAAGTTTCCATACACAGGGGAAATACCCATTTTTGTGTGAAAACCATTTTTATTGATATGCTTTAGATGACTTTCCATCAGAGTTTACAGCCGGTGAAGGCAAGAAAGATAAAGAAATACAGAAACATAGAACAGAGTTATGGTAGACAGATAATCCTTGAGAATAGATGTGTTAAACAGACAGGAGCTCTTTGAAGTGAAATCTAATCCAACTAACTGGGATAAAATATACAGTTATAAGATGCAGTCAATTGCTGCATTAACTGCCTCATCTCACTGATGCAGAAACTGTGGCAAAAATTGTAATTCTCAGGTCAGACTATATAGTCACTAGTGCCCAGCAACACAAACTCTATTCTCTGGCAGGACTGAAAAGAGGCCTACTTCTGACCAAATATTTCTATTTACAGAAACATACCTTCGGCTGCTTGTACAAGTAGACTCCAAGTTTCAGCACCTGTGTCAGGAAGTCGACTATGACATTCTCAAAGGTCTCATTTGTATCATAGGCTTCAATGCCATGTTCTATGATATCTAAAGTTCGGAACGACCAGTAGCTGTACAGCCGAAGGCTGATGTAAAACATTCAGTTAAGGAAAATACAATGCATTTACATTGAACATTTTATTTTAACACTTATCCACAATGTGACTAGACAGTCAAGCAAGTAAAGGCCCTTTTAACATCAACTTTTCTTAAGGCCATGCTGGCGTGGTGGGTATTGAACAGGCAGACAGATTAGCTGGATCTGCACCACTGGGTGGTTAATTGATACATGACAAGGCAGATGTGGTCAAGGCCCTTTGGGAACAAGCAACGTAATCAGTAGAGAAACAAGATTATTATGGCCTGGAGAGAACGAGACACCTGGGAGTAACCAAAGGGTCTGGCCGGCTTACTACACTTAGACACTGGCAAGACACATGAGAATGCCCCGAGTGCTGTGATGTCAATTCTTGACTCAACTCAACATTTTATTTTAACACTTGTATACAATGTGACTAAACAGTAAAGTAAGTAAAGACCCTTTTAACATCACTGATGCCTAGGGTATACAGTACTATATTCATATCTTTTTCTATAGATAAAATGGCACTTAATGAATTATATGGTCTAATGAATGATGTGGTCTAATTAATGATGTGGCCTAATGAATGATGTGGTCTAATGTATGATGTGGTCTAATTAATGATGTGGTCTAATTAATGTTGTGCTCTAATGAATGATGTGGTCTATGAATGATGTGGTCTAATGAATGATGTGGTCTAATGAATGATGTGGTCTAATAAATGATGTGGCCTAATGAATGATGTGGTCTAATGAATGATGTGGTCATATGAATGATGTGGTCTATAAATGATGTGGTCTAATGAATGATGTGGTCTAATGAATGATGTGGTCTAATGAATGATGTATTCTAATGAATGATGTGGTCTAATGAATGATGTGGTCTAATGTATGATGTGGTCTAATGAATGATGTGGTCTAATGAATGATGTGGTCTAATAAATGATGTGGCCTAATGAATGATGTGGTCTAATGTATGATGTGGTCTAATTAATGATGTGGTCTAATTAATGATGTGGTCTAATGAATGATGTGGTCTAATGAAGGATGTGGTTTAATGAATGATATGGTCTAATTAATGATGTGGTCTAATTAACGGTGTGCTCTAATGTATGATGTGGTCTAATTAATGATGTGGTCTAATTAATGTTGTGCTCTAATGAATGATGTGGTCTAATAAATGATGTGGTCTAATGAATGATGTGGTCTAATGAATGATGTGGTCTAATTAATGATGTGGTCTAATGTATGATGTGGTCTAATGAATGATGTGGTCTAATGAATGATGTGGTGTATAAATGATGTGGTCTAATGAATGATGTGGTCTAATGAATGATGTGGTCTAATGAATGATGTGGTCTAATGAATGATGTGGTCTGATGAATGATGTATTCTAATGAATGATGTGGTCTAATGAATGATGTGGTCTAATGTATGATGTGGTCTAATGAATGATGTGGTCTAATAAATGATGTGGCCTAATGAATGATGTGGTCTAATGTATGATGTGGTCTAATTAATGATGTGGTCTAATGAATGATGTGGTCTAATGAATGATGTGGTCTAATGAATGATGTGGTTTAATGAATGATATGGTCTAATTAATGATGTGGTCTAATTAACGGTGTGCTCTAATGTATGATGTGGTCTAATTAATGATGTGGTCTAATTAATGTTGTGCTCTAATGAATGATGTGGTCTAATGTATGATGTGGTCTAATGAATGATGTGGTCTAATGAATGATGTGGTCTAATTAATGATGTGGTCTAATGTATGATGTGGTCTAATGAATGATGTGGTCTATAAATGATGTGGCCTAATGAATGATGTGGCCTAATGAATGATGTGGTCTAATGTATGATGTGGTCTAATGAATGATGTGGTCTAATTAATGATGTGGTCTAATTTATGATGTGGTCTAATTAATGATGTGGTCTAATTAATGATGTGGTCTAATGAATGATGTGGTCTAATGAATGATGTGGTTTAATGAATGATATGGTCTAATGAATGATGTTGTCTAATTAATGGTGTGCTCTAATGAATGATGTGGTCTAATTAATGATGTGGTCTAATTAATGTTGTGCTCTAATGAATGATGTGGTCTAATGAATGATGTGGTCTAATGAATGATGTGGTCTAATGAATGATGTGTTCTAATGAATGATGTGGTAAAATGAATGATGTGGTCTAATTAATGATGTGGCCTAATGAATGATGTGGTCTAATGTATGATGTGGTCTAATTAATGATGTGGTCTAATTAATGATGTGGTCTAATGAATGATGTGGTCTAATGAATGATGTGGTTTAATGAATGATATGGTCTAATTAATGATGTGGTCTAATTAACGGTGTGCTCTAATGAATGATGTGGTCTAATTAATGATGTGGTCTAATTAATGTTGTGCTCTAATGAATGATATGGTCTAATGAATGATGTGGTCTAATGAATGATGTGGTCTAATGAATGATGTGTTCTAATGAATGATGTGGTCTAATGAATGATGTGGTCTAATAAATGATGTGGTCTAATGAATGATGTGTTCTAATGAATGATGTGGTCTAATGAATGATGTGGTCTAATGAATGATGTGGTCTAATGTATGATGTGGTCTAATGAATGATGTGGTCTAATGAATGATGTGGTCTAATGAATGATGTGGTCTAATGAATGATGTGGTCTTCTGTGTGGGTTCCAAAGCCCTATTTTAGGAGAGAAAAAGAATAGACCCACTGTACCCATCTAAAAGGTGACAGAATCGGGGTGTTTTCTTCTAAGTCAGAGTGTATCTGCCTGAGAGGTGAGGAACCAACAGTCTGCATACGTATATGCTAGAAGTTTAAAATGTATGTGCATGCAACACTCAAGCTTTGGAACAAAAGCAAAGTCCAGAAGTTAATGAACAACCAGAACTTTCTGCCAGAGTTTACAGCCAGTTAATGAACAACCAGAACTTTTCGCCAGAGTTTACAGCCTGTTAATGAACAACCAGAACTTTCCACCAGAGTTTACAGCCTGTTAATGAACAACCAGAACTTTCCACCAGAGTTTACAGCCTGTTAATGAACAACCAGAACTTTTCGCCAGAGTTTACAGCCAGTTAATGAACAACCAGAACTTTTCGCCAGAGTTTACAGCCTGTTAATGAACAACCAGAACTTTTCGCCAGAGTTTACAGCCTGTTAATGAACAACCAGAACTTTCCACCAGAGTTTACAGCCTGTTAATGAACAACCAGAACTTTCCACCAGAGTTAACAGCCTGTTAATGAACAACCAGAACTTTTCGCCAGAGTTTACAGCCTGTTAATGAACAACCAGAACTTTTCGCCAGAGTTTACAGCCTGTTAATGCTAAACAAGAAGAAGAAGAATCTTCTTCTTCTTCGCGTTCACCAGCTGTACACTCTGGCAGAAAGTTCTGGTTGCTCATCCACTACTGAACTGCAGTCCTGCTCCAGAAGCTGAGTGTTGCGTGTGCATCAGTTTTACAGATCTCATTCTCTTGAATACAGACTGTTGGTTCCTTGCCTCTCCGGCAGATGCACTCCGACTTCAAAGGAAGCTCCCCACAATGGGGCCCCGGAACCCACACGGGGGAGAAGAAGAATGATGTGGTCATATGTCGGCAGGTGGTGTGGTCATTACAATGGCCACCTTTACTTTCCATGACATTTCCTGGTATCCATTGCAGGCTGGTTTGACCTGGGAGACAGAACCAAACTCAGGGTAAAATACTTGTTGCTTAGAGGAAAGAAATTTGTATGTGATTTAGTTTTCTGAGAAGCCATGGCAGTTTAGTGGCTTGCTATCCCCTGGCCATGTGTTTGAGGAGAGGGTTTATCTCAGGTCGACCTAGCTTAAAATAGCCTCTAGGACAGCGGTTCTCAACCTGTGGGTCACGACCCCTTTTTGGGGTCGAACAACCCATTTTACAGGCATCGCCTAAGACCATCGAAAAACACATATTCACTGAATGGCATGAGGGAGGCCGCCGCAATATGAGAAACTGTATTAAAGGGTCGTGGCATTAGTAAGGTTGAGAACCACTGCTCTAGGACATCACATTTGTTTTTTTTTAAGTTCTTGGGTGGGTTCCCAAGCCCCATTTTTGCATCATTTTGGGGGGAAGGGGAGGAGTGAATGAATCCATTGCCTGCCTAACAAACATGTAGATGAGACCAATGAGGAGTTTTTTCCTCCAAAATCGTATCTGCCTGAGAGGCAAAGAACCAACAGTCTGCATACAAATAAGCAGATTAATAAAATGGATGTGCACATAAAATGCAAGTTCTGCAATAAGACTCACCTCTTTGAGTCCCAAGGAACACATCATACGTTCATAGGTATCTACCTAGAAGCCCAATAAACGCATGATGCGCTGATTTTATTACTTTCCTTGCTACCCCCTGGGCCTGTGGTGCTAAACCTCCTGGGACTCAAAGAGTTAAGTCCAGAAGTGTACAAACAATCATAATTTTCTGCTGGACGTAACAGCTGGTGAACATTGAGAATAGGAGGAGAGTTTCTTTCAGATGCAAAATAATATCTTGACAATATGCTCCATTTATTGTCCTAGCAAGGGATGCAGATGATGATGTTGATACAAATAAATGTCTGTTTTAAACACAAGGATATATCATGAGACACAATCAAGATCTTGTCTGTTTCCAACACAAGGATATACCATGGGACACAATCAAGATCTTGTCTGTTTCCAACACAAGGATATATCATGAGACACAATCAAGATCTTGTCTGTTCCAAACACAAGGATATACCATGGGACACAATCAAGATCTTGTCTGTTCCAAACACAAGGATATATCATGAAACACAATCAAGATCTTGTCTGTTTCAAACACAAGGATAAATCATGGGACACAATCAAGATCTTGTCTGTTTCCAACACAAGGATATATCATGGGACACAATCAAGATCTTGTCTGTTTCAAACACAAGGATAAATCATGGGACACAATCAAGATCTTGTCTGTTTCCAACACAAGGATATATCATGAGACACAATCAAGATCTTGTCTGTTTCAAACACAAGGATAAATCATGGGACACAATCAAGATCTTGTCTGTTTCCAACACAAGGATATATCATGAGACACAATCAAGATCTTGTCTGTTTCAAACACAAGGATATATCATGAGACACAATCAAGATCTTGGATTTTGAGATGTAAGAATTTTCTTCCTGTTCCATCTTCCACAGATCTTTCACAATCCGCAAGATCATGTCTGATGATGTCTGAAATACAATGGATGGATTTTTATAGTATGGATTATTTATTATTATTCTCAAATAATTTATTTGTAGTTGTATCATGATAGGGAGCCAAAGAGGACATATGTTTGCCTCCAGCCTGTAGGTCTCTTCAAATCCAGAGGCTGATTTTCCTCCCTTAACTCTTTGAGTCCTGGAGGATTCAGCATCACAGGCCCAATGGGTAGTCAAGAGAGACGTAAAATTGGCGCATCATGCGTTCATTGGACTTCTAGGCAGTAACCTATGAACGTATGATGCGTTTTTTGGGACTCAAAGAGTTAAAAAAAAAATAAACCTTGGCGTCCTAGGTTGACCCTGCTTAAAAGGGGCACCAGGTAAAGTCATGTGAAGTAAAGGTGAACCACATGATGTTGACCTCTTCATCCACTGAGTGCTGACTGGACCACATGATGTTGACCTCTTCATCCACTGAGTGCTGACTGGACCACATGATGTTGACTACTTCACCCACTGAGTGCTGACTGGACCACATTATGTTGACTACTTCACCCACTGAGTGCTAATTGGACTACAAAAGTATGAGTGCTGACTCATGATGTTGACTACTTCACCCACTGAGTGCTGACTGGACCACATGATGTTGACTACTTCACCCACTGAGTGCTGACTGGACCACATTATGTTGACTACTTCACCCACTGAGTGCTAATTGGACTACAAAAGTATGAGTCTAGTATCTTATGCCCAGTACATAACTAGTATGAAAAGGATCCTTTCTACTTTGTCATGACACAGTTATGTAGGTTACACTGTAACTTTCAAAAAATTCCTCTAACATATGATGATGACAACATCTTGACAGCTGTCCTTATTGCCTGTATTTAAATGTTAAAGTCATGAGAATCGACTTTATTGCACTGGGTTTTATCCCAAACGCTCAGTCTCTCTCCACTGAAAGGCTAGCTACCAGTCGAGGGCATCACAAGGCACAAATCCGTAGCTCTAGAGACAATTCCCCAGTGGGGTCTCTGTAAAAGTTGGTCCCATGAAAAGGATAGCGCTGCTGTGAAACAAACCCATGATCTTTAGAGCATGAGGCAAATGGCTTGACCAATGACTACCTTTACATCATGGACAGACTGACCTCAACAACATGAATATACTGACTCCAACCTCATGGACAGACTACCTTTACATCATGGACAGACTATTTTTACATCATGAACAGACTACCTTTACATCATGGACAGACTATCTTTACATCTTGGACAGACTAATTTTACATCACAGACTACCTTTACATCATGGACAGACTACCTTTACATCATGGACAGACTACCTTTACAAAACTGACTACCTTTACACCATGGACAGACTACCTTTACACTGTGGACTGACTACCTTTACACCATGGACTGACTACCTTTACATTGGACAGGCGGACCTCAAGCATATGAATTACAGACCACAATGGCATGGACAGACTACCTTTACATCATGGACATACTGACCTCAAGAACATAAATATACTGACCCAACAACATAGACAGATTACATTCACATCATGGACATACTGAACCCAACATCATGGACAGACTACCTTTACATCATGGAAAGACTACCTTTACATCATGAATACCTCATGACTTTACACCATGGATGGACTACCTTTACATCACAGACTACCTTTACATCACAGACTACCTTTACATCACAGACTACCTTTACATCACAGACTACCTTTACATCATGGACAGAATGACCTCAACAACATGAATATACTGACTCCAACAACATGGACAAACTACCTTTACATCATGGAGAGACTACCTTTACATCATGGACAGAATACCTTTACATCTTGGACAGACTACCTTTACATCACAGAATACCTTTACATCATAGACAGACTGACCTCAAAAGCTTGAATATATGGCCCCAAATGGCATGATGGAAAGACTACCTTTACATCATGGACATACATCAAGAATATGAATATACTGACCCAACAACATGGACAGATTACCTTCACATCATGGAAGACTACCTTTACATCATGGACAGAATACTTTTACATCATAAACAGACTACCTTTACCACATGAACAGACTACCTTTACATCATGAACAGACTATCTTTACATCATAAACAGACTATCTTTACATCATGGACAAACTGGCCTCAATAACATGAATAGACTGACTCCAACTTCATGGACAAACTGGCCTCAACAACATGAATAGACTGACTCCAACTTCATGGACAGACTACCTTTACATCATGGACATACTACCTTTACTTCTTGGACAAACTGGCCTCAACAACATGAATAGACTGACCTCAACAACATGAATAGACTGACCTCAACAACATGAATAGACTGACCTCAACAATATGAATAGACTGACCTCAACAAAATAAATAGACTGACTTGAAAAACATAAATAGACTGACCTCAACAACATGAATAGACTGACCTCAACAACATGAATAGACTGACCTCAACAACATAAATAGACTGACTTGAAAAACATAAATAGACTGACCTCAACAACATTAATAGACTGACCTCAACAAAATAAATAGATTGACCTTGGCAACAGGAATAGACTGATCTCAACAACATGTATAAATTGACCTACAAATCATGAACAGACTAACCTCAACAATATGAATAGAACTAACCTAAAAACATGAACATACTGACCTCAACAACAAGAATAGACTGACCTCAACAACATGAACAGACTGACAACAACACGAATAGAACCGACCTAAAAACATGAACAGACTGGCCTCAACAACATGAACAGACTGACAACAACACGAATAGAACTGTCCTAAAAAACATGAACAGACTGGCCTCAACAATGTGAACAGACTGGCCTCAATAGTGTAAGACTGGCCTCAACAAAATGAAGAGACTGACCTCAACAATGTGAATAGACTGGCCTCAACAATGCGAACAGACTGACAACAACACGAATAGAACTGACCTAAAAAACATGAACAGACTGGCCTCAACAACGTGAACAGACTGGCCTCAACAATGTGAACAGACTGGCCTCAACAACATGTACAGACTGACAACAACATGAATAGACCGGCCTCAACAACATGTACAGACTGACAACAACATGAATAGAACTGACCTAAAAAACATAAACACACTGGCCTCAACAACATGAACATTCTGACCTCAACAACACGAATAGAACTGACCTAAAAAAACATGAACAGACTGGCCTCAACAGTGTCGACAGACTGACTTCAACAATGTGAACAGATTGACCTCAACAATGTGAACAGACTGGCCTCAACAATGTGAACAGACTGGCCTCAACAATGTAAACAGACTGACTTCAACAGTGTGGACAGACTAACCACAACAATGTGAACAGACTGGCCTCAACAGTGTCAACAGACTGACCTCAACAATGTGAACAGACTGACCTCAACAATGTGAACAGACTGACCTCAACAATGTGAACAGACTGACCTCAACAATGTGAACAGACTGACCTCAACAATGTGAACAGACTGACCTCAACAACGTGAACAGACTGACCTCAACAATGTGAACAGACTGGCCTCAACAACAAGAACAGACTGACCTCAACACTGTGAACAGACTGACCTCAACAATGTGAACAGACTGACCTCAACAACGTGAACAGACTGACCTCAACAATGTGAACAGACTGGCCTCAACAACAAGAATAGACTGACCTCAACAGTGTCAACAGACTGACCTCAACAATGTCAACAGAGTGACCCCAGCATAAACAAACCCCAACAACATGGACAGACTATCTTTACATCATGGACATACAAACCCCAACAACATGGGCAGACTATCTTTACATCATGGACATACAGACCCCAACAACATGGACAGACTATCTTTACATCATGGACATACAGACCCCAACAACATGGACAGACTATCTTTATATCATGGACATACAAACCCAACAACATGGACAGACTATCTTTACATCATGGACATACAGACCCCAACAACATGAACAGACTGAACTCAACAACATGAACAGACCTCAACTACATAAACAGTCCTTAGCAACATGGACAGACTATCTTTACATCCTGGACATACAGACCCCAACAACATGGACAGACTGACCTCAACAACATGGACAGACTGACCTCAACAACATGAGCTATGTGCTTGAGGAAAATCAGCATCAGACCAGAAATGGGCTCACTGCTGGGATAATCAGCTTGAAGCTTCTTCATCAGCTGGTCATAGTAGTCTGGGATAAGCATGTCACAAATTACTACAAATTTAATGTTGCATTAACTTAACAAGGGTAATTGATCACAATTAACTACAAGTGTGGAATCACATTAATTTCACCAGGGTAATTAATTACAAGTGTAAACTTTCCTTAACTTAACCAAGTTAATAGACAACAGTTTCATTTTTGTGCCAGGACACTCTGGGGTCAGCGAGAATGAACAAGTGGACTGGCTTGTTGGCAGGGCCAGGTAGGTACAAGAAAAGCTATGGATGGGGTTAACATTCTCAAAGCTCTCAAGGAGGCAGGACGAGGAGAGGATTCAGGAGATGATGTAGAATCAGCAACACTCAAAAGACTACAAAAACTTCAGGTCAAAAGAGGTGTCACCAAACATGAACACTATACAGGTAGCCAAAGAAGAAAAGTAAACCACCACAGAACTGGTGTTATCAGTCGCCACATGCTGAGGGATATGCTGAAGATGGGATCAAAGCTCTTATGGACAAGTCTGATGTGCAATGATGATAATCTATCGATTAACTAACTAATAGACAACAGTTAACAACAAGTGTAAAGTTGCATGAATTAACCATGGTAATAAATCATTAGTAACTGCAAGTGTAAAGTTGTAATAATAAAACTGTGGTAATAAATCATTGCTAACTATAAGTATCATCATCAACATCAATTTTCATTTATGCCATTAAGCGTCATGGGGAGGAACAGTTTGCGATCCACTGCTTGATGGGCAGTATCAAGATAAGATTTATACAGCTTTTAAGTATTCTCTTTCTCGTCTCAATTGACAAAGAAAGATTGCATAAAATATTTTTCAATTTGTAAAACGCTGCTTTTGCTTGAGCTATTCTACATTTAACTACATTTAACATCTTCCATGTGATGCTATCAGGATACTCAGGTACTTAAACATTTCAACTTGCTTGAGGTTTGACCCATTTACTTTGATGTTGCATTTTGGATGGTCAGTTTTGTTGTTGTTGTAATTACCATTACTTCTGTTTTTCTACTGTTCAAACAAAGACCCTTGTTTTTACTTTCTGTTACAATTATGTGCATCATTTCTTGTGTTTTATTTTCAGCGATCAAAAATTATATCATCAGCACATTGCAAGTTTTTTCCAAAATTCTAATAATTTCTTCATGTTTCTTCATCAAATGCTTTGGTATAATAAATAAAGCACAAATACAGATCTCTGTTCATTTTAATCATTCTATCTGAAAGTGTTCTCAAGATAAAAAAGCCGTTGTTTATGCCTTTACCTTTAACAAAACCACACTGTTCTTATCCAATTTCTGGTTTAATGTTGCACCTTATTTTTCTCATAATAATTCTCATTAATATTTTAGTTACATAACTCATTAAACTAATTGTTCGATCTTCTCCACACTCCACTGCACCAGGTGTTTTTGATAAAGGTATGAAACGAGATTTCAAAGGGTCATTAGGTACATATCCGCTGTTATAAATATCATTGAACAATTTTGTCAAAACTTCTAAACCAAATTCACCAGCAGCTTTTAATTCTTTAATTGTGATGTTATCTGTCCCTGGAGATTTACATTTCTTCATGTGTTTATAGCACCCTTCACTTCGGCTTTTAGTATTGGCATACCTTCCAAATACTCCTGACTCTCTATGTCTGGTCCACTGTTATTGTTAAGCTCTTTTATATACTCTGTCCATCTTTCTGTTGAATTCTCTTTGTCCACTAATATTTCACATTCTTTTGTTTTAAACGAACTACTTGCATATTTTCTAAAATCTGATAGTTATTGTATTCTTTTACACATGCTTGATCTTACGGTAGTTTACGGACTCGCTGTCTGAGCTACTGAGTTAAGAGCTTGGCTGCAGCCTTGTGAACTGTGTTTTTCCTATGGAATGCCTTTCATTTGCGCAGCTGTTGTGTTGTTTTGTTCAATATGGCCGGTTTACATGTTGTTAGCTGGTAAAATACCTTATGTAAGAATTCTAAGTGTGTGTATAGTAACCAACTTTTTGTGCCTGACTATTTCCATCAATGACAAACTGCATTTTTGGAGGCGATTGTTGGATTTGCTACCTCGAGCAACTGAAATACTAATTTACTGCGTGCACATATTTCTGGATTGTTCTGGAACTAGTTGTTTATTCACCAGTTTTTCATATGCAGCAGTGAGGGATATTTCATTTGATTCACACTGGCACAGGAACGGAGCAAGTATGGGGAAGCCTGACTGCAGTGAAGTTGAAACCTGGTCTAACTAACTAACTAACGTACTAACTAACTAACTAACTAACTAACTAACTAACTAACTAACTAACTAACTAACTAACTAACTAACTAACTCTTTTAGAATGCAACCATAGAAAGTATAGAGATGAAATAAGATAAATGAAAAAAATATACATAAGTAGCGTACTTCCAAGTGATGATCTGTCCACCTGAGGAGATCGAATCTTTGAAATATACACTAAACGATGAACAAGGAATTTCTGGGGGAAAATAGTTATATAAATATAAGGCTTTTGAAATTTCTTATCATGAGACAACATTTTATCATAAGTGTTTATGTGTGAAATGGAATGAGTAAATATGTTGACTCTGAACCAACTAAATATTGAAAAGAAAATGAAGGATGGTGATGAGATACATCTTCTTCTTCTTCTTCTTTTTCTTTTTCTCTAGTCCTGTATTGTGTTTCAGCTTCAGGTTTTAAAGGGGCATGGGGTGAGAGCCTTCGTATGTGCTACATAGGTGCGTGTATTTATGGCCTCGGATATTCCATCCATTCATCGTTTGTGTGGTCGACCTCTGGATCTGCTTCCATTATGTCTCAGTAACAGGGCTCTTTGTGGTGCACGGTCTGATGTTAGTCATGACACATGTCCAAACCTTTTGATCTGTTGTCTCTTGATGTGGTTAGATACTGGTTCCATCCCAGCTTCTTTTCTGATATTATTCCTGATTCTGTCTCTACTAGTTACATTTAGGATTCATGGTGGACGTTTCAATTCTGCTGTTTTGATTTTTTTTTCCGATGAGGTATACAGAGCACATAAAATGTGTGTGAGCATTTGCAGATAAGTGTGAAAGTGACATTTACATACAGATTGTTGATGAAAGGATGATGGTTACATAACAAAGTGCATAAAACATGTGTTTGTGTGTGCATGTAGGTAAGTAACAATTACATATGGATAATGGAGGATCACTAACTGATAATTAATTTAATGAATATATAGGAAAGAACAGTGTGTGCATCAAGGGAACTAACAATTACATTAAGGAAAGGAAAATATGTGCATGTGGCTAAGTATGAGGGCTATTTCAAAATCAACCTCTGATTGGCTGGTAAAGAATAAAACATTTGCCACTGTGACACTGTTCACTGCTTGCATCATTCAGTAGTCTTTTAGCTCACTATACATCAACCTACAGGTGCATTTGTTCAGTGGTTCACAAACAGGAAATGAATAAACATGGTCACTGTTATTGCCTTTCCCACCAGCTATGAAATTCATGGTGTGATTAATTTTCATCTAGCAGAAGGTCAAAATGCCGATTAGCTTCATCGTCGATTGTGTCGTGAGTGCAGTGTTAACATTATGAGTGACAGTCCTGTGAGCTACTGGTGCAGGAAATTCATAGATGGGCATAAAGATGTACATGATGAGGGTGGACAAAGACGACATTCATGTGTGACAGATGAGCTGATTTAATACAACCGAGCAGTTTGTAGTGTAAAACTGCTGTTTCACAGTTTCAGAATTTGGAGGAAGGGAAACATAGTGGCACACTGGGTACACATAATGTAGATGTATGGATGTGTGTGAAAGTGACAACTACAAATAATTTATACAAGAAATAATGAAGAATGGGGAATAGCTATAATACAGGCTGAATACAAATAATGTGTATGTATGTGTGCATAAGAGTATGTATGTGTTCAAATAACATTCTGTCATTTATTACATTTTTTATCATAATATTTTCATTATGTAATGAAGCTACTTTACAATCATTTCCTTCTTTGTGTTGTGCTTTATGTTTACTTGTTATTGTTTACTTATGAAGGTTTGGCACCACAACATCCTTTGTGCATTGTATTTGTATTCTGTTAAGCTAAACACACATTTCATGTTTTACAATTTTAAACAATTGATTTGAAGTAGATCATATACATACACACTACTGAACATTATGGTGACACAGCAAATGACCTCAGTAAATGGTGTTTAGTATAGCAGGTTCTGGAATCGGACTAGAGTCCACAAGTGGACGAACAACCAAAACTTTCTGCTGGAGTTGACAGCCGGTGAAAAAAAAAGAAGTATAGCTTGTAGTGTTATACTGTCCAGATGTGTTATGGGTATTTCTTTGAGGTATCTCAACTTACAGATACGTAATTTTCTATATTCTGGTATGTATTTGTATCACTGTTCATATGGCATTCAGGATTGGGATATTGTGAATCTGGGTTGTTCTGCTTGTCGTTAAAGTTAAAGAATACAGTCATTGAACCAGGTTTTATCCAATATGACTTGGCCTTTCTCCACAGAATGGCTAGCCAACTGCCAATAGTATCACACAAAGCAAAAACACTGTAGTTCTAGCAATGATCCCCAGGTATCTCTGTAACTGAACTTCGGAATCGAACGACGCAGCCGTGAAACAAACCACTGACCTTCAGAACCCTTCCCAACTTCTTGTTTGGATTGATAGGTTTTCATGCTTTAAAAAAGTCTACACAGTCCCACAGCAGATACTGCTATTGAGTGCCAAGAGTTAGGCCTTCACATACATTTGGCCATGACATATAAGGTGAGGTGACCAGTTGTCTTCCTCATCAGATTTCCTTCCCAGATGATTCCTATACAGTTCTTACAATCATCTTGAGACCAGGTTCACCCCAAAGCTATACAAGTTGTAAAAGATGATCTAGCTCAGTGGTCCACTCCACTGGTGGGCCGCAGAAAAGTACATGTGAGCTGCCAAAAATGTCTGTCTAACGATGTAGCAGGATAGATAGTCTTTATCTTGTAGGAGTGCAGTATGTAGTAGTGTCATCTCAGTTATGAGAATTAAACAGGTACAGACCCTGGAAACACCATTAAATGCATTAAAAAAAGGTTACATTAGGGCACCCGACAGTTACAGCAGTAACATTTCTGCCTTTAATTAACTGTCAGGTGGGTCGCAAAACAATTCCCCTTGCTTTGCTGGGCCATAGGTGTAAAATGGTTGAGAAACACTGGTCTAGTCTGTATTGATCCTCTAGTCCACCTCTACCATTGTCTCTCTATTACTGTTTCAAATATGGCTTTGTTTACATCTTTTTGGGTTGTGATAAAGACAGTAAGTGTTTTACGAGTATTTTTAAAATCTTAAATCTAAAAATCTTAAAATCTATTGTGTCATTAAAATAGTGTAATTATTATGCCTTAGATTTTTTCGTATTTTTAAAATGTGATTATTTGTATAAATAGAATTTAAAGTCCACATTTGTAGGAGCATATTATTATTATTATTACTATTTAAATGTGATTTTTAAATCTAAGTTTATTTCTATTTTTTGTTGTTGCAATAAGTAGGTACAGTTTATAATTTTTGTTGTTGTTTGAATCTTAGTGCCTCAGTGTGTGCATGTTGGACACACCTAGATGTACAATACAAGATACTCAGAAGCTATTTCGAAACAACAATACTAACACCCAAGGTTTTCTAGAACAAAAAGTGCTGCTACTCATCACACAGTTTCTATTTAAAAAAAATGGTGCTGGTACTAAGCACAAAGTATTTTATCACAGTAACACACTCCCCCTCCCCCAATCCTTAAAAAAAAAAAACATGCCTAAAAAGGTACTGGTACTGTGTACCATTGTGTACCACCAGAAAAAAAGCCCTGCTAATACAAATAGTGGTTCACACACGTTTCACCTCTGCTTCCTGCACAAAGATTTGCATTAGTCATTGGTGACACTAGAGGTGCTGCTAAGGTTAATTTTGTCTGTATTTTTTTCTAAATGTTCAGTGCGTGTGTGATAAATCAGAGAAAGGCTCTCCTCTGAATAATAGGTCTGATTGATCCCGTTTAAAATATACCCTAACAGGGCCTCACTGATATGTCAAATATAGATTTATTGCCGGCAAATATGGAAGGCAGACCATTAGCTTAGACACAGATTAGCAATAGTGGTCTATCGACTGAAAAACTGGCAGCTGTAGATGTTTTACCTGCAGACACACACACACACACATATATATATATATATATATATATATATATATATATATATATATATATATATATATATATATATATATATATATATATATATATGTGTGTGTGTGTGTGTGTGTAATATATATATATATATATATATATATATATATATATATATATATATATATATATATATATATATAATATATATATATATATATATATATATATATATATATTTATATATATATATAAGGTTCTCCTTTCAACTACGGCCGGTAGACAACAATTGAAGGTTTGCGCGCAATTTTTAATTTCACTTAGTTCTATCCACTCGGCAGACGATTGTAGCAACAAACCCATCTTCCTAAACCTGGCAAGAATCATTCAACACTCAATGGCTTTAAGATCATAACCCAACAAAACATCTTGGTTAAAGTGCTGGAGAAGGTTTAGAAAATTACCGGCCAGGGAAGGACACATGTTCAGATGCAGCCACTTTTGCTTTTGACGCCTTCGAAGGTTTTCAGAACAGACGGGAAACAGCTGCAGCAGAATTTGATTTAGAAGATGCTTTCAACAGTAAGGTACATTATCTTGATGAGGGCGCTTATGGAGAAGGGAGTCTGTTCTTGGTTGGTGAACTGGATAGCAGCTGTTTTGTATACTCGTCGGGTAGCTCTCCGCCTGGGTTCATGGACCTCTGACCCATGTATTATAGCTCCAGGACTACCACAGGGATCTGCAATTTCACCTGTGTTGTTCATTGTTTACTTGCAAGATTGCGGACCTGGAAACACCCAGGGTCGGCAGAATATTGACATTTGCAGATGAGGTTCTCGTATATAGGAAGGGAAGCGGTCGTAATCAATTAGCTCAAGAATTACAGGCGACATTAGATAAGGTGACCGACTGGTGTACAGAGATGAGTGCTGTAATCAACCCAGAAAAGGCAACCATCCTTTCGTGTTCTTTGGACCACAGGATTGTTAGAGCTGATGTTGCAAGCCTCAAAATAAATGACAAGGACATACCTGGGAATCACCTTGACAGAAGTTTGTCTTTCAAGGATCACATAGAGGAGGTGGTAACGGACTCTGAAAGAATGCTGAGAAAGGTGAAGACAGGGATGCTTCGAGCAGAGTGGCAAGCCTCACTGGGAAGGTCACAAGTAGTGAGCATACTTTAGATCTTTTTTCCAGGCAATGGCGGCGTAGTTGGTAATGAACAGGCAGACAGATTGGCTGGATCTGCACCACTGGATGGTGA